ACAAGGTGTTTGGTAAATATGTCGAGGCAGAAAAGTTTCAGCACTTGCCGGTCGTAAAGCATTTTTGTTTGTTTGCATTTATTTTATAGGTAGGTAGCAAGCAATGCTCCACTCAATTTCACATACTTCCATCGACAAACATACACATGTCTATTTTTTTTTCAGGTCTCGAAAAATTAAAGTCACAAACCCTGTTTCAGATTTAAAATGCAGGCATCAAAAAGAAAAAAAGGAAAATTTATGAAAGACGATTGAAATTTCATCTGCTTTTAGGAACACACTGAGTGCATGAGTGCTAACACATCAATTAAATCGACGAACGCAGGTACAACATTGTGTTAAATATATATATATATATATATGTGTGTGTTTGTGTGTGTGTGTGTTTGTGTGTGAGCGCGCGCGTGTACATTCGTCCATAAATAAACTAAATAAACAAAAAAATTAAGTAAATTTATTGCTCATTAATACATTAATATCATTCATTGTTAGCGTTGGCGAGTGTGCGTGCCGCTGCAAAGAGCATGACATCAGCGTGTGAATATAAACGCATGCAGGCAGGCAGGCATGTGAATGCGTTTCTATTTATTAGCCTGTTGAAATATAATAGTAAATATAAATTTTAGCGACATCAGCAGTTTTCAAATACGTAATGTGTTAAGAATCTTCAAGCACATGATTTGAAACCAGCGGTTGTGTCTTTCTTCATAAAATTACCAAAAACTTATTAGTTTTTTACTTTCCGTCATGCATAAACTTTTATGATAAATATAAATATGACCCGACTCGGCAGACAGCACAGAACGTTCACACGAATGCTGGCTAGAAAGGAGGAGTCGTCCAACAAACTTCTTAACAAATGAATACACGAACGACTTGAAAATCAAATAAGTAAAGTAGAAAATAAACAAACAGACAGACAAACAAATATAAAAATAAATAAATTAATCAATATGAAACTTTGTAAACGCGATAAACAAAGCAGTGTAAGAGTACACAAACTCAAGAGAAATAAAAACACTGAATCCAATGCACGATACAAATATTAATGCATTAATCAAATAAATAATGCAAACCTATCATGTAATTGCGGTAATACAACTGCACACGAATACGACATTATGCGAATATAAAAATACGCCATATTAACAGATTTATAAAAGCAAATACATACATACATGCATGCATGTGTGCGTGCATGTATGTATGTATTTGCATGCATACATACATGCATGCATACATACACATATACAAATATACAAACATAAACTAAATAAACAAACAACTTACAATACAAATACAATACGAAGAAAGGTATACCAAAAAACAAGCACACTTACACACATATAAGCAGACATACAAACAACCATACAAACAAACAACCATACACATAGATATACAATACGAGTGTAAAGAAACGAGCGGCGTTGTATTATTGTTGGTCCATGTAACATCTCATGCACACTTGAATAAACATGCAGTTGAACGCTCACATTACTGCATGACTGAGTTTACTATTGACTTGCTACAATGAACTTGCTTTCCTCTCTTACGTGTGCTTTTGTGTGTGTGTGTGTGTGTGCCAGTGTGTGCCAGTGTGTGCATAATTACATAAAAAATTGTCAGTAAAAAATTCATATACAGATTTTTTTTAAATAATCCATTAAAATGTATAAGGCTTAATGTTGTATTACTTTTTTCAGAAATTAAAAATGTTTTCAGTGAAAAAAATACTCTACCTCCAGTTACTAGTTTGATATTTATTTATTTGTAAAAGTTGAAGACTAACACTAGAGGAATGGATAGTTGGATGGGTGGATAGATGGGTGGATGGACGGATGGACGGACGGACGGACGGACGGATGGATGGATGGATGGATGGATGGACGGATGAATGGACGGATAATGAATGAAGTGGCAGTCATTAATATGAATAATAATAAAATAACAAAGCTTATTTACGCATACCTCAGCATGTTTGCACAGGCCACAACATATGCAATGAATGCAGATCAATAAATGTTCAAACTGTCAGGAAACACAACGAAAAGTTCATTATTGTGTTTAATTTTCATCTCTATGATGCTTCATGCTGGGATGAAATGTTGAATGAATGAACGTTATGATAGGAATGAATCTGATGTAAAACATGCTCACAAATGTTGAACAATGAGGAGTAAAACAACATCAAACATTCAAATGTCAGATTGATGTAATGACTCACGGCATATTTATTTATTCGTTCATTCGTTTGTTTGTTCGCCCATTCATTCATTCGTTCGTTCTTTCATTCGTTCATTCATTCATTTACTCACTCACTCATTCACTTGTTCATTTATATTTTGTATTATAACTGCCACACCACATAAAAATTAACTCGGCTGATTTTTTTTTTGTTAACTGCTCATGCGGAACAGGATTAACGCAGAAATAATTCCTTTTATTGGTATGGTTTAAATAAGGTTTAAAATAAAGTATTGAATAAAAATATTAAGATAGAAAAACATATGGGCATTGTCAATCATCCAACCAAACAGCCAACTAACCAACCAATCAACCAACCTGCCAGCCAGCCAACTAACCAGCCAGCCAGCCAACCAACCAACTAATCAATCAACCAACCAACCAACCAACCAGCCAACCAACCAACCAACCAGCCAACCAACCAACCAACCAGCCAACCAACCAATCAACCAACCACATGAGTCTTCAAGCAGAGGCATTTTCAATCATTCATTCACCAATCGCTAAGTAACTTCATTAAATGAGAGTTATTCAAAAAAAGTACCTACCTACATACCTACTCATTCGTGTACAAGCATTGTAGATACTACAACAAATGTTACAAAAACACTAAACATACTTTTATACATACAGCAGACGACATTTAGAAATAATCACAACATAAAAACGTACGTAAGATCAAAATATACAAATCCCAACACACAAAAATCTTTATTATTAAACACTCCACACTAACATCTTATTGTAACACCAACACAACATTTTACAGACACACGCACACTGCACGCACGCACACACACACATACATAAATACACACACACACACACACACACACACACACACACATACCGATACAACATTCCACTGTGAGTTCGCGTCACAAGTCGACCTCTTCTTATTGTAAATTCGCTAATTATATCTTTATTAACGATCAATAAAATAAAATACCAAAGTCGGAGAGAAAGAGAGAAGAGAGATAGAAGAAAGAGAGAGAAAGAGAAAGAGAGAGAGAAAAAGAGAATTGATAACGTGGAATGCTTATAAACACCTATATAAAGACTGTTAAAGTAAAAAAAAATAAGCTTGACAAATTGCAAAGAATGTCCGTATAATATAATTAAACCAACTTGCGGCACACAATGAAGCATTTCGTAATTTCGTAATACATCACCTGCCAGATTTCAATAATTTCATGCAAACATACCAGAAAGTCTGAGTCGGTCGGGATCGGAAGTGGGATCTTTTTGAGGGGCCGGAGTCAGAGTCGGATATTTTTTATCCTGATGCGAACATTTGCGTTTTGGGCAACGCGATAGTGTAATGGTTAAGGTGCCTGGCGTTGTTGATTGACGCAGTGTCCTGGTTCGAATGTAAAGATATCCTCGCCTATCACATACAAAGGTGTGAGTGGTGCGATGATTCACGTGTATTTATACACTGGGTGATGATAATATTTAAAGGAATACTCAAAAAATGAAAAAGATGAAAGAGAAAAGTGAGAAAGTGAGTGCGAGAGAAAGTGAGAATGAGTGAATGTTTATTTATTTCGTCGTTTATGCACTCATTAAACCATTCATCCATTCATTTATTCACTCCTTTAATCATCTACCCAATCATTCATTCCCTTATTCACTCAATCAATTATTCATTCATTCATTCAATTATTTATATTACTTTCATCGGGGAATATTTTTTCTCGGAATCAATTAATTTTTATTATGGGTGGTCGATCGACGGCTTTTATTTCCCTACTTTTTGGTCTTTTTCCTAATATGAAACAATCGTATATATGTGTATATGTGCGTATGTGTCTGTGTGCGTGTGTGGTTGTGTGCGTGCGTGTGGGGTTGTGTGCGTGCGTGTGTGGATGTGTGTGTGTGTGTGTCTGTGTGTGTGTGTAGAAAACTAAGAATTACAAGTAAAGTGAAAATTGTGTTTGGGATGGAATGATTGACGTTTTTGATCTCTGTCTGCATGTATCAGTGCCGTGTATCAGAAAAGAAAATACTTCATACGTAAATATGTTGTCTCATAGTTGAATATTAGGAATATAATATTGTCCTTGTATTGTAAAATTTAACGAAGGTCAACAGTATTTTTCATTGTTATCATTAATGTTATTATTATTATTATTATTATTGCTACTACTGAAATGATGGTTTGATATTGTTAATGACGTTGTTATACTTACAGGGATAATGTTGTTTTTCTTAACCTTCCTCTGAAGACCTGAATGTAAGAAGAACTTTTCCGCCGGCTTATTTCTCTTGTAGCTATGAAAAATTCTTTGAATAAAGGAATGAATGATGAAATTGAATGAAAAAATTTATACAAACGAATATGCATGAATGAATGAATAAATGAATGAATGAATAAATGAATGAATGTATGAATGAATGGACGAATGAATGAATGAGTGAATGAATAAATGAATGAATGAATGTATGAATGAATGGACGAATGAATGAATGAATGAAAGGGCGAACGTTTCAATAGATGGATGAATGAAACAGAAAGATGATTTAGTGGATAATAATGAGATAATGTGGAAAAATATTGTCAGGTGAGCCCAATTGTATAACATCATGCACAAGTATAAATCTGGGTAAGCACAAATACAACACACCCAATCTCATTCTTTAATCTCTTTTATTTTCTTCTTCTTCCTTTCCTTTCTCTCTCCCTCTTCCTCTCTCACTTTGTTCTCTTTCTCTCATATTGATGTGCCAAAAATAAAATAGAAATCAAGAAATCAATGGAACGTGCGCAGTCCCAATCGGTGGAAAGAGCGGAACACGGATCATTTGAAATTGTAAGTCTTGTTGGAAGAAACAAAGAAGCAAACATCCACGAGGAGAGACTCCGACAGACTTGGAAAGGTGAAGTGGAAATTATCCAACCCAATGGCGATGCAATTGGAAATGAAATAGTTAATGACATGTTTAAACGTTAGTGACGAGGGAACAGGCAGAAAAAAATAGTTAACTGGCCTGACATTTGTTCTTTCAAAATTATGATTGGTGACAGAAAATAATTACATATTACTTAACATTATAATTATAAATATTATATCATTAAATAATTACATATAACAATTATAAATAATTAATAACAATTTTTCATAATTACAAGCATTAAAAGCAAATTAAAAGCATCAGGTGACTGATGGCATAACAGCAACCAAATCACAAAAAACATACATTCCAACAAGAAGAAAAACAGTGGGATGTTGTTGCTATTTGTTTAAATAAAATGGAGAAACAAGATTATTCAGAAATTATTAATGAATTGAAGTTCCTACAACCTCGCGCAGCTTATGAAAATCTCCATTTCGACATTTCAAAATTATGACCCCGTGACTATCACTTGAACGAATATGAATGGAATTGAAATATAACAAACGACAGTCCTACGCTCCTATAGCCGATATTTTTTTTTTTTTTGTTAAAACATTTTTATTCAGTCAGCAACGTTTTAAAACTTGAATCAAAACTTGAATTTATAAAAGAAAAAAAAACATTTAAACGATTATTCAATAAAAATTTAACGAAAATAAAATACAAATGCTTGTATTAACCAAACAATTGAATAAATTCTCAATTTTTTGAATTTGCCCACAGCATTTAGGGACCAGGGTTTAACATTATTTGAAACTTCGCCACAAATGATATTTTCGTCGAGAATAATATTTCAATTTTCAAACCCAGATTTTGAATTAAAAAAAAATTTCTATCTTAATACAAATTTCTTAATAAAAATTAATACAAATTGTTGTTCCTATTATTACCGCGTACTTTAAACTCTTCAAGATAATCATCAACGGCGGTGTGGCTGGCATTCCAACATTTTTCTTCTTGGATCTAGTGAACCCGGAAAGCCACCAACCTCAATTAATTGTTACTAATCTTTTTCATCTTCGTAGTCTCCAACAACCGAATTTAATTTATATTTGTTCCAGCAGCAAAATACGTGAAGTTCAATGGTACAGACTAACAAACGAGCAACAAACCCGAAACTACAACAAGCCGCAGACAAAAATCTGCTTACAACTTTTTCCATCACTGATTTTTTATTATTTAATGGTACCTACTTTATAAATTCCTCCTCACAAACATCATATAGTAAGTGGAATAAATATATCTCTAAATAATTTATGCACATATAAATTATTTACCTATATATAATGTTCATCATGTTAATTGCGTTATATAAACACATGATCGCAAGTTCAACTTTTCAAACACGTATAAGAAGAGTGATAGAAAAAAACAAAAATGTTTATTAAGTTTTAGTTTATTTTTTGCGAATAAACTCCATAATCAACTTTCTAGCAGCAACATTTTTTCATTTTTACTATAATTTGAATAAACATGAACATTGATTTTTTTTCAATGCTCGTAACGCTTGCAAATAATTTATAATCACTTATTTTTATGAGGCTATTGATTTCTTTTGTAAGCCAAGCTTCCTTCTCGTAGTTGTTGCTTGGCAGTCGATGCGAATGTTTCATGCATGCCACTCGGCCACGCAAACGTTTTCCTTGTTTTCTTTCACAGCGTAGTCATATTTCTATTATTTCAAGATTTATTCATTCTTTCGTTTCCGTTAGTTCTTCCTATCATTGAAAGAGTAATTTATTTCTCCTTGTTTTTACTACCTAATGTTTGCTTCCCTGTTCTCATAAAAAATTTATGTTCCACCGTTCTTGTTTGTTCTTCAATGTTTTAAAACGCAATGCCATTAAAAATATTTCTGTCACTTCCACTTTATTGCTGTTTTATCGATTTGACAATGTGACCAAAATCGGTTGACATCATTGAAAGGATAATGTCTTTATCTTAATTAGTTCCCTTCTTTGTTGCTGCGGATTGTTGCAGGATTGTTGCATTAAAGTTGCAGTCGCAACTTGAAGCACAAAATTTACGACTCTTATTGATAGTCAGCATTGAAACATCAGTCAACATTAGGAGCACAAAGACTGCCAGCAGACAGTTGCACGGAAGAAAAATGCACGCACGCATGAACAGATGTCATTAATTATCAGGCACGACCATTTTTAACTTTCATCATCCACACGAGTCACATTACAGCAGAGTTTGCGTTACGCTGCCATCTTGAAATATTCCATGGTGTTTCAGTTATAAATTATGCAAATCACGTCATATTATTTTAAATCAAATCAAATCATCTTTTATTCAATCAAACAAAACTAAAAGGTATGGCGCATGATTTGGTGACCAAAAAAGAAAAACTTCAAATAGCTTTACAATGTTCTGGTAATATAACGAGAATTGTTAATAAATTAGAATTAGAATTGTTAATAAAAGAAAAATGTGTCAATGTTAATGAAATTAAATTTTAGCCAATTATTATTTTTTAAAGAAAGAACTTTTCGCAATAAAATATTCTATCTTTTTATTTTTAAAAAGATACAAAGAGTTACAATCTTTAATTTCTAGTGGAAGTGTTTCCCATATTCCCGGGCCGGTGTGTTTCTGACTCATACAGAGTACTTTAATTCTGGCTGGTGGTTCTTGCTTGAATGGAAGTTCCAAAAGTGAAAAAGTCTCTAAAAAATGCCGGTAATTGCTAGCGAAAAAACTTAAAGTTGAGAATTTTTATTGACTGATTATCAAGATTGTCTGGCAATTAATGCTATATATCAATGAAAGATCAGACATTTGTCATGCCGATCAGTAATCTAACGATATCTGTAAATTAATAAAAAGTTCATCAACACACGTGAAAACTACTAGCAAAAAATTCGTTTCAATTATGGAAGGTAGAACTAATAAAAACGAATCGATCGTTGGAAAAATTTATTTGGCTGCAGTGTAGAACGCTGCGAATAAACCTTCAGACATCTGAAAATCAAATATATATCCCAATAGAAGTCATTGAAAGAAAGCCAACATTAATGAAAATAACGTGTAATAACATGTAAAATATTGCTTTCTAGTATTATAATTATTTTCAGCTAAGATTAACAGTTGAAAGTGAACGTGCTAAAATAAAAACACCGAATATTACACCCCTTTACAATGCTATAAAACATTGCCTATAAACAGATGACACTTGAAGTTAACTTCACCCGCCTATCTGTGAAACCAAACAAGAGGAACCCTCTGAATAATGAAAACAGTCCAACAGAAAAGAAGACAAAAACACAACAAAGATACGACACACCAACACAGTTACATTAAGCATAAAAGCCGACTATTTCAAATAAACTTCAGTGCACAATTCTCTATCATGCTTTTTAGATTTATTTTTTTTCAAAAGTTGCTTCTCAATGTTGAAAATAAAATATTGAAATAAATAAAATAAAAATAATTTCGACAGCATATGATGCAAGACAATTCAGCTATATCACCGGTGCAATATATATATATATATATATATATATATATATATATATATATATATATATATAGAGAGAGAGAGAGAGAGAGAGAGAGAGAGAGAGAGAGAGAATTACAAATTTATCACTGTTTTGCATACAAAATAGAAATTTATATGAACTATGTATATGAACTACAAAACTACAAAGCCACACACACACACACACACACACACAAATATATATGTATGTATATATATATATATATATATATATATATATATATATATATATATATATATATATATATATATATATCTGTATGCAGAGTTGCAGCGGAGTAATCTTCATGATAGACTGTACATCAGTCGGTACATGTGGGAATATGAAGACAAAGTGAGCATGGGAGTCATGTGATTCATCAACGAATAAAAATAAAAAGATCTATATAGTCAGTGTACTGCACACGCATTTACTATCTGTGTGCGTGTATATGCGTGCGTGCACCATAATATGAAGACAAAACGTGTGTGTGTCTGTGTGTGGTATGTGTTGTGTGTGTGTGTAAGTTGTGTCTGTGTGTACGTGCATTTGCCTATAAGCATCTCTAGGAAACGTGCTTGTGTTTCGGTTGTGTTTCTCCCACTCATGCATGTTCCAGTATAGCTTTATTGGCATGGAATAGATGGCGCTGTGTTGCTGGATGTTGATATTTTTGGTACCGTGTCGCTCGGTATTTTTTGTTGCTGAGTTGTGTGGTTTGCGTTTTGTTGTTGAGTAGTTGTCGTTTTTAATTGCTATTTTTGATGTCTGTCTGTACGTACGTTTGTATTTGTACGCGCAATTTGTGCATAAACGTATTTATAGGGGACCATTTCATTGTTTGTACCGCATACTCTTGTTGTCGTGTTTTGAGTGTTGTTTGCTTTGTTGTCGGGATGGTAAGAGTGGAGCTTGTTTGATGTTCGTTGTTGTTGTTGTTCCTTGTTTTTTACATTATTGTTATTTTCTTCCCTGACGTTTTGTCTGATTTTTATTTCGTTTTTGTTTGACTATTGCTATTGATGTTGACTTGAATTTAATTCACTAATGTTGGCTCATTCCTTGTGTAGTCGTCAAAACTGCTTGTTGCTTTGTTGTTATTGTTGTTTGATTTTTGTTGTTGTGTTGTTGGTGGTGTCATTTTGCTGTTGTTGTTGTTTTTGTTGTGCTGCTGTTGTTGTCGGTGCATAATAGAAGATTGGTGCTTTAAATATTGCGAGGCACATTCCAACGTTTAATTTTTTCTTAATTTTTCGTCATTAAAAAATAAATTGAACGCACTGAAACTAGATTAACATAAAACTGAAAACCGGATCACCCACATACACCTTTAATTAAAAATTGTTCTATAACGCACTTACACTGTCTCGTGTTTTAATAGTGGCTGAACAGATTGTAGATTTTACTAAAACATTATTTTCAGGTATGCATTGATAAGAACATTTATAATTGAACATGTGTGTGTGTGTGTGTGTGTGTGTGTGTGTGTGTGTGTGTGTGTGTGTGTGTGTGTGTGTGTACCGCTTAGCGAGTATAGAGAGGACGAATGGATCATCCATATTAAAATGCCAGTGCCTCTAATCTCTATTTAATGCCATGTTCCCTTTTTATTTAATACGTCTCGATCGTAACATTCAGGCCCAACCATGGTGGGAATGAAAGTTTGTCTCCCCGACATCCTCACAAACACACGCCAATTTATAAACGATACGAAACGATTATTCTACGGTCATAGATTAATTGCATAACATAACATGACGTCATAACAATTTACACATACACTCGCTTCCCATGTGTGTGCACACATATACATACACAAACACATAATACATACAAACAAGCAAACAAACAAACAAACATACAACCTTCGCCACGAACAACGCATTCTGTCCGATTATTTATTTTATGACTGATAATGGTTTTAAAATATTGCGGTCTTCAAAAAATCTTACTGTAGAAGATTGGAGAGAAACTAATAACTTAACTTTCTATGACTTCGGATGATCAAGGTTCATACACATGCAGTTAGCATGACTTAACAAATGACCTCAAGCTTTTTAAGATTCAAGAATTTACTGAGCCACAACATAAATTGAAAAAAGGGAATTGAAAATTTTTATAGTTTTTTTTTACGATTCCATAGAAGGGCACTAAATATTTAATGAGGATAGTGGAAAATGCATTGAATAAATCGTCAGCATGGTATTTTATTGCAAAGATGGGCAGCATATCAATTTTATCGTTTTTCGTGAAACTTTTGTGGTGGGCACGAAATTTCATTTGCTTGAGACAAATTAAATTACACCTTAAAAGTTAAAAGACTGGGATTTGGGAAAGTCTTAATATTTAACTCAGTAAAATATGGAATATCAAAAGAATTATTGAAAACGAAATCACAACAGCAGGTCGTAATTAATATAGAAAATAAGTGCTTCAATTCTACTGGTGACTTGAAGAAATAATTGGCGAGTATTATTTCAATTTAAAAAAATAAAAATGACCTTATTAATAAGAATTTTGCATGCATATAATATAATGTTTTTAATTATTTAGGATGGATGTTCAAAATATTTAAAAGGTGTTGAGGTGTTGTTTCGCACGGGCACAATCGCACAATTGTAAATATAACAACCTGCTCTAAAATGGAAATGTGGCATTTGATGGTAGTGAACAGAAAGAACAATAATTAATTTTAATTCTTTCTAACTGTTTAATAACAGTTATTTAAGTTAATCGTATATGTTTTTACTTTAGAATGGTTATGTTAAATTGTTTTGAATTTTTACTTACTGATAGTTATCCCAACAATAAGGTTTGTTTGGTTTTGAATTTTGATGGAGCAACTGGAAGAATGCGATTTCATAGTTGAAGTTTTAAGAGCTAGCCTAGCGTCAACAATTATTCCATTTAATCTTTCCTTTATGTTTTCATGTTAGCTAATACAAAACAAACTGCAGCCAGTTCAGTGAATGTAAATAAGCAAAAAGTGTTTGTGATCCAGTTCTTCGATTTATTTATGCCTCGAGGTTGCATGATTTAAACAATTTATTGTACATATAATAAGTTTATTGTATATATTCATATAAATAAAATAAGTATATAAATATAGTGATAAGTTGCACTTGTTAAAGCGTCATTCCCATACAGGAGATAAAAATTCAACACAATTTGATTGTACATAAATAAAATAAATGCAGATAAAAGATGAATTATTGTGGTTGGTTGAGAAATTCTGAACTAAAAAAAACTAACCTGATGCAAACAAGTCCATCGTGCAGACAACAAGAATTATGAACGCCGTCAACATATTCGACAATGTAAACATTTCGTAACTTTCTTATTTATTTAAAATTTTAATTGATAAACTAAAACTATTTTAACTAATAAGGTAATTAAAATTAACCGTATTAAAAATAACAGAGTGATCAATTAAAATGTAAAACTTAAATCAGTTAGTCGATTGTTATATTAACTAATTAGTTAATTTAATTAAATTGGTAAAAATTGCTCTAGGATTAATAATGCTTCCTGTTAATAATATACAAAAATTATAATAATAATAATATATTATATTATTAATAATATAATTATTCCATTATAATATTCTCTGCAACATTTATCCATCAATCAACGTTTGTTGAGGAAGATAAGAATAAAATTCACTTTCCAAGTCTAACTGGACACAAAAAGTTGTAGGACTGTTGCAAGACTGTTACACTAGCAATGTTGTTAGTAAAAAGTAAACAACGACCAGCATCTTATTTATGATTAATGAATGTGAATTATTACAGAGCACAAACCACAAATATAAATACATACAATAACAACAAAAACAAGCTTAACAACAGCTTAAAAACAATTCAATGGACGAGC